ACGTTAACTAACTTACGTACGTACTAGTATAGTAGTATATTATTAGTAGTAAGTTAAGGTAGTTAAAAGTTAAAAGTAAAGTTAAGAGTTTTTTACGTTTTTCATTTTTGCTTTTACAGAGGAGGGGGGGGGGGTGTTGTAGGGAGTGTGTGGAATCAATTAATGGGCCCATCAGTTGATATGATTTAGCAAATACCACTAATCTCCCAGCTCTACAGGTGAATAGCACTTATTACTTAAACCGTTCATTAAAGTTCTTTCCACATTATTCACATGTTTCAGTTTTTATTCATAGGTAAAATCCTGACATTTCCTTTGTACATTCATTGGAGGCTTTATAAGGTTGCTGGTCTTGATTCTTGTGTTACTTATACCTCTCTCTTGTACTTGTTTAGTGGGTTTGAAATTGTAACTGTCTGCAGTGTCATTAAAGTTATTAGAAAACGCATACTTTAATGTCTCGCCATTCATGTTTGTATGAACTTGTTTGTTTATTATTCTCAGGCCTGAAAATAATTATTCATATATAGTATATTCCTGTGGAACTATCATTAATGCCTTTACTAGTCCATACAACACTGGAAATATTTTAGAAACTGAAACAATTGTGAGACCAACTTTTCATAAATATATGCACGTGTTACTTTCATTTGTCACATTAGTTGGCATATATTGTAAGTATCATAATTTCTTAATTCTGAATCTAATTGACCAAGCCCTTCTTTTGACATAACATTTGGAAATTATCAACCCAGTGTCATGAATTTTATTATGATTCTTTTCCTTGTTTAATAACCAAACATTGCAACTTATCCTCAATTGGTCGTTTCCTCATTCCTTTAACTAATGTTTGATAAGTGTCATATACAAGTCTTTGAAATTCATTTACAACTCAACCTCCATTAGTAGTTTCCTTGTTCCTCTAACTAATGTTTGACAAGTGTCATGTATAAGTTCTTGAAACTTATTATTTCCATTTTTCAATGAATGAACCACGTATGTTAAAGACTGCAAAATTGCGGTACTGAACACTTTCTTTGTTTTACCAGTTATTTTTATCAATTATATCCATATTCATAATGTTGTTCTTATGTTTAATATTAATATTTGTTTTTATGAAACATGTTAATACATCTTTATACAAATGCTTAATCTTGTCTAGAAGTATTTATTAAAACATGCTTCTTGAGATAATTCTTGAAAAATAGAAAACAGTCTGTTTTTGTCATTTTTAAGCACTGTCTTCATCTATCTTAGATTCTACGTATAGGTTTTCTTGACTTCATTCCATTTTCACCAATCTTCTGACTTTCTGGAAGGAAATTTAAATGCAATGTAAGAAATTATCATTACTTCGACAGTCTATTAGAGAAGTATCTGACAGTTTTCTAAAGTTTGTGCTGAACAACACCACTAAATTCCTGTGTTTTTAGGAATGTTGTAGTTCGAGGTTGTAGGTTCTAAACAGAAGTGAGGAAATATATGTTGTATAGATAAACTACCACAGTAATCTTTGACTTTTTCATGTACTAGATGTTCTTGAATATCCAATGGCAATTTTGACAAACATTTCCACAATTTTTAAATGATGACAGATATACCATACTGAAACTTTTAATGGCTGGAGATGGCTTGAATGGGTAATGAAGAAAAACTTTAATATAACAGCAAATGTACAACGTTTCGACAAGGTTTTGTCATCATTACCTTGTACCTGATGATGACAAAACCTTGTC